GGCCTCCCTGAGTGCTAGGATTACAAGCGTGAGCCACCGTGCCCGGCTGAATGAAGAGATATTTTAATAAAATATAGTAATCTCAAACATGGAGCAGAATAAGAGAAAACAAAGAGTAATTAGTAGAATTTCTATTCCTAAGGTTCCTGAATAGGGGATTTTGTAGTCATCAGGTTCAGAGTTGAAATAGTTTCAGAAGAGAGGAAGGCTCCCAACTTTGGGACCTAACCATCAATGAAAAGGAAAGCGTGATAATTTTGTGAAGGTGTATTTACCTGCACAGATGTGTGTTTGGTTTTTTTTTTTTTTTGACTTCTTTCAGATTTGTCCTTGAAAAACTAAAAGTGATTTCTGTAAAGCTATCTCTCAGATGAATGTAAAAACTTAAAATAACAGTGATTTCCATTTTTTTTCCCCCTTTTCCTACGTTATCAGAGGTGAAGTAGATCATTGCAAACTCAAAAACTTAGATACAGCTGCAGCCTTTCGGCAATTAAAGGGATGACAAACTGGTTCTTTCAGTATACCATTGATTATTACTTTTAGAATTAAAGTTTAGGAAAGTAATTGCAGAAGTAAATGGTTGTTCAATGCCAAAGAGAAGTTAAGGCAGAATTAGGATCAGATCTGAGAAACTCTGGCTTTAGCCCCATGCTTTTGCCAGAGTAGATATAGTTCTGACTTGATTTGGAGGATGATTTCTGTTTATGCTGTGCTGTGGAGGAAGGGCAAAGTCCTGAAGAGTTGAGCAGCTAGTTGTTTCAGTGTTTATTCTTTAGTAAAATAAAATGAATTTTGTTAGCTTTTCACTTAAAGATAGCTAAGTGAAAAAAGGGATCTCCTGTCACCTTACTATTAATATTAATATGAGATTAATATTAATCACACAACTTTACATGTGCCTTATAAAGCAAAAAGCTTTATGCTTTATTTTATTCTGAGATGACTTAAGGAAGCAAAAGTGATTAAATATTTTTAACTAGTATTTTTTCCATCAGCACATGTTGTGGTGCAATTGCATTTCCTCTCAAAATGAAACAGTGGATTTTGAAAGATCAGTACTTTCCCTTTTAAAGAAAATATAGGGACCACTCTAACACATGAGTATATCACTCTTGCTTCCCAGGGGACATGTTTAATTGCTCTTGAGCTGTGAAGCTCTGTATCGATATTACTCTTTGTCAGCCATTTTAAGTTTAAGGGTCCAAGGGAAGACTTGGGTCACCCAGAAATCCCATTAGTCTGAAATCAGATTTGTAAGCCATACCCGTTGCCTCTTGAAATACTCCTGCTTTTTCCAGGACCCTGTCTATAATTTTTAACATGCTAATACAATTAGAGGCTATTAGCTAGGAAGATTAATACTGTTAATACATTGCTTAATTTATTTACCAAGGCCAGCTTAATTCTTAGCTTATGAGAATCAGTTCTTCCATGTTTATCACAGATATTCCTTAAGAAGCAGAATTGGGTCTTTATCATAAATAACTGTTAAAATAAGGATTATAATTAGCATATGCATCTTGCCCATGCCAGGGTGCTGTCCAATGGTGTGATGGTCATGTTGACTAACATAACCTGTCTTTGATATTTTTGTAGAGACTTAAGAAACAATGAAATTTCATGGGCCATAGAAGATGCTAGTGAAGCCTTTGCTGGACTCACAAGTCTCACTAAATTGTATGTATTTATAATATTTATGTATGTATACAGAGGTGTATTTTCAAGAACCAATTGTAAATGTGATTGACTTAGATTTATTTGATATGGCTAGAAGGTCTGAGCTTTCTGACCCATCTGGGAGCTTCGTTTATCAAGTGGTTTTCATTTTGGGAAGTAGTTGTTGGTGGGGCACTTTTTATTGAAAAAGCATTCCAGCAGACACTTGAAGAGAAGTTATTTATGGAAGTAGAATTTCTATTCAAGTAAAGGAAATGTGCTGAGAAACTAGAGTTGAACTGGTAATGGTCATCTGTTTAATCGCGGGAGATTTATAGATAATTCATCTAGCAGAGGAGAGTATTCTCTCACAAAAGATTTTAGATCTTCTCCCATGAAAAGAATTTCTCCAAAGGTTCACACTTCTCTCAATTTCTTTAACCTGATGATCTTTTGCTAAGAAAGTAGAAATGAAGAATATAAACTAATTTAGCATATGGAAACTACCAGTTTATCAGTGGTCAGAATGGTTGTTCAGAAGTACCTCATTGAGCTTCAGCATCTTAATAGAAGCTTTTATGTTATTGGTTAATAATCAAAATTCATAACTTTCTTAAAAATGTATGCTCTCATCAAATTGTACACATTAAATGTGTGCAGTTCTTTGCGTATCATTTATACTTCAATAAAGCTGTTAAAAATACAAAAAAAACCACTTTAAGCTTATTTTCACCTTTTATAGGTAAATGTGTAATGAATTTAACTTTGTTTAATGGACAGCTTTATTAGAAAGGTCTGTTTGTATTTCAGAATCTTACAAGGAAACCAGATTAAGTCAATTACAAAGAAAGCATTCATTGGTCTTGAATCCCTTGAGCATCTGTAAGTATTTTGCATACATTTTCTTACTATTAATATATCATCTCTGCTATTAGCAGAGGTTTTCATGACCTTGTAAGGTGTTTATATAATTTAATTATAGAAATGGTGACTGATAATGTTTCATTTCTCTTTATTTCAGAGATTTGAACAATAATGCTATAATTTCTGTCCAAGAAAATGCTTTTTCTCAGACTCACTTGAAAGAACTGTAAGTAACTTAAGTCTTTTTTATTACCAATTAGATCTTTTTTTATTACCAATTAGATCATTCCTGCTTGTTGTGCTTAAAGTGTAAT